CAGCACAGGTCACTTAGGTGAGCATGGTCCCAGTGGCAGCATGGCCCTCGGACACCAACATGGTCAAATGTCATGGCCTAGCTCCAGACATCTATGTGGCCTTGGGTAGCAACATAAGCCACAGACATCAACACAGACTCTGGCTGTGGTAGGCCTACTGACCCAGACATGGCCCCTGGCAGCAGCCCAGGCCTGGATACCACCATGGCCACTCAGATCAGCATGGCCCCAGCTCCAGCATGACTCTCCGACACCAACATGGATCCAGGTGGTGGCCAAGACTCATGGCATTGGCCTGGCCTTCAGAGGTATCAAGGGCCATGGACATAAACACAGATTCTGGCTACAGTGGGACCACAAATCCAGACATGGCCCTTGGCAGCAGCCCAGGCCTGGACAATACCATGGCTCCAGGAGGCAGCAGAGGCCACTCACATCAGCATGACCCCAGCAAATTTCTGGATCTCTTTGGAAAACAGTTTTAAAAAGTCAGTCTCGGGTTTTATGCATGATGGGTAGCAGGGTCTTTATAATAATATGTACTGTTTTAGCAATTGTTTACCTCAAACTTGGCCCATCTCGTACCCTGCTTATAGAAGAAAGAGGGGCACTCTCCTAGGACTATTATAGTATCTGGCCATGAAAATTATACCCTAAATAAAAGTTAACTAGTTTCCTCAGTAGATTCCAAAAGAGCAAGAAAGAGCCCCATGATTAATTACCACTCCAAAATCCCTCAGGGCTTGAGGAATAAATGTCTAGAGAATATTAACTGAGGGGAAAACATGCCTTGTATAACTGCTCCACCTTCAGTTGATTTTAGTTAAGCATGAAACTGATGTTTTTGACAGTCACAACTAAAAATCAGTAGTTTAAATTTTGGGTCAGATTTCTACTCAGTTGCTAGCTGTTAAGAAATAATTGGCTGACACTGGTACTATAAGATTGATAACCCCAGTTTACTTCATCTCTCTCCTCTCCTTTCTAGGCTGAAAACCCAAAGATATGAGAATCTATGGTATGTACAGGGATACCTGGACCTGGTAACAAAGATCTGTAATCCCAGCTACTCAAGAGACTGTGACAAGAAGAAAGTCAGTCCAGGGTTTTTATTGACTACAAAATGAGCTCAAAGACATCTGAGGTGACTAAGGAAGAATCTGTCACTAAAAAGGCCGGGTGAAGGTCAGATGAAGATTAGTTATAGTTATAGTTGAAGATTAGATAGTTATAGTTAGTTAAAGTTTAGATAGTTATAGTTTTCCTTGGTAAGAATTTCAGAAAAGAAATTCACCAAAGAGTAAGTGTATAAATTTGAAAGACATTATAAGATAGTTCTATTAGTAATATAAGTTATGATAGAAAGTGAATCAGGTACATTTTGGACTTACCAATATAGGATAGATAATGGAATTATTTTCTCTGAATATGTCAAATTCAAATGGACTAGACATTGTTTAGGTATTTGTTGCTTGTATATATTGTATATAGTTATTGTACTTTTTGTATATAGTTTTTCTTATATTAGTTATAATGTTTTTCCTTTTTTCTTTTTATTAAATTAGAAAGGGGGAAATATGGTGATATTTTATTTGTGCTGAAATGTGATTTTATTTGTATGTTAATAAATAAAGTTGCCTAGGGGTGAGAGCTAATAGCAAGCCATAGCATAAGCTGGGCGGTGGTGGTGCACGCCTTTAATCCAATCACATGGCAGGCAGAGTCTGTGTATTCAAGGACATAGCTAGCTTGGAGACATACGCCTTTAATCTCAATACCAACCATAAAGACCTGGAGGTCTGTATAGACAGGCAGTGATGAGGAGGTCATGTGGTTGGGTTTACAACCAATAAGAAGGCAGAACAGAAAGTCAATAAAAAGACAGACACACAGGAAGTAGGTCTCTTTCTCAGGGGAAGGAAGGCAGTGGCAGCGGGTGATAAGAAGGCGATTTTGGTCTCAGCTCTTAGCTACAGCTCTGACCTCTTGGGTTTTTAACTCTGCATTTGACTCTGTGTTTCTTATTTAATAAAACCATTCAGAATTACATCTATAGTCAGATTCAGGATATAATGATCAATTATTTCTTTGGTTGCACAAGGCCCCAACTTTTAATCTTGATTTAACAATATACAGAAAACTACAAGTGCACCATGACCTGTGTATTAACAAATAACTGTTTTTATAACATTAATTCCCAGAACACCAGAACAGCACCAGAAGTTTCCAAATTCAATTCTTGCCTCACCTCAGAGACACTTCTTTGCACCTTTCTTGTGGATATAGAAAATGCAGGTCTCAGGCTATCAAGACCCAGGCTGCTGAAAGCCTCCCATTTTCTTTAGTTACTGGCTTTCTAAATAAAACTTTTGGAAAATCCATTTGTTTGTCCTCTACTCTTGGCCTTTTCCAGGAGTGTGCAGGTGAACTTAGGTCAGTAGCATGTGATCAATGCTAGCCTAGATTTTCCTGAGCCTCTTTCCATGATTCATTATTTAATGTTAAAAATATTTTATAAATTATTTGAGAAACTCATGCAAGAAGGTTTTATCAAATTTACCCCTTTCCAAACTCCTCCCTGATCCACCCAACCCTTTTTCATAAATACTAAACTTCGTGTCTGCTCTTTTCTTTATTATTAGAAAAATTTAAATTCAATTTGTGCTGCCCACAAACTTGGATATGATGTCACTCTCTGCAGTATGTTTGAACCAAAACATGACATACCTTTAAAGAAATCTCTCTCTCTCTCTCTCTCTCTCTCTCTCTCTCTCTCTCTCTCTCTCTCTCTCTCTCTCCCCCCTCTCTATATTTCTCACTTTCTTTCTCTCCCTCTCTCAGCAGCTAGAAGTTGCCATTAACTCCTCAGCTATTGGTGGGACTTTATGTCCATGTCCCCTCCCCATGCTGGGATTTTGACTGGCTTGTGTTTGTACATGTTTGGTGCACGTTGTTACAACAGCTGTAAGTTTATTTGTACAGCTGCCCTGTACTGAATTTCTTGCTCCCTTGCAACCGATCATCCTTTGTACCTGGCTCTTAGCTTTTTTTTACCTCCTCTATCACAATGACCCCTTAACTTTGTAAATAATGGCTCTGATATTGATTTCCCACTTAGAACTGAGCTCTCTGCCATCTCTTATTCTTTGTACCTTGCATAGTTTTTTTTAAACATCTTCTACTTTAAAGTGAAGTATCTCCAATGAGGTTGAGAGATTTGCTACTCTCTCAATAAGTATGGTGTCAAGGAGTTGATTTAATACTACATAATTTAGGAGAGTAAAAGGAGTAGAATCTCCCCTAGAAGCTCAAACCTGTCTAGTCACAGACTCTTCATTGGTTTAAATATTAAGGCAACTCCACTTAGTTAAAAGGGAGGTTTATTTTGTGGGGTAACTTACAAGTGAAGGGATAGTTAACGGGGTCTGGGAAAGGTGAAGCACAGTCCAGCGGTGTTCTCTGGAGGACTCTGCTCGGTCTACCTCCAGTGTCCAGGGTTCAGGAATCAAGAGAGCTCCCCCATCCAGATCTTGAGTCTTTAGGGGTCCTCTCTCGGCTCCACCTTGTAGGCGTGACAGTTACGGAAGCCTCAAAGGGGGTGGTACTTCCAGGTCAAAGCTGGCACGGCTATCCACTACAACTCTTGGCTCTGATAACAGTAACATCTTGTGGCCTTAAATACTACCAGGAAGTAGTTGATCACTGCCATGACGTTCATGCCACTATTGGGCTACTGAACACCTCTTACCATACCAGTCGTCATTGTAGCTAACTGGGTTCACAGCTGAGGTGTGATTGTTGTTTACTTTTCTCCTTCAGTAATATGAATAGCATCTTCCAGCAATATGAGAATGAACCAGTGAGGATGATGCTTTCAGGTAGGTACAGTTTGATCTCTTCATGTTCTGTGTGTGGTGCCTTCAGTCACAGGATGTAGAAGGCTTTTTCTTTTGTGCCACCAACCAGCTTCTAAATCATGACACAGAAACTTAATATTAGTTTTGAATGGTCAGCCTCAGCTTAGCTCTTATTTTAATCTGTTTCTTTTTAATCTACATTTTGCCTCAGGGCATTTTACTTTCCTTTCTCCTTTCTTTCTTTCTTTCTTTCTTTCTTTCTTTCTTTCTTTCTTTCTTTCTTTCTTTCTTTCTTTCTTTCTTCTTCCTTTCTCTCTTTCTTTCTTTCTGTGTATCTTACTTTCCAGCTTCCTCCAGTGTCTGACTAGCTGGTTGCTGCCTGGCTTCTTTGCCCAGGCAAGTCCCTCTCTTTCTCCCTCATTCTCTTTTTCTTCTTATTTCTTCTTCTTGTTCTTGTTCTTCTCAAGCCTATATTTCTCTTCCTACTCATTCTCTATGCCCACCCGCCAGCTCTTCCTATCCCTCTCTTGCCTAGCTATTGGCCATTCAGCTTTTTATTAGACCAACCAGGTAGCTTAGGTGGGCAAAGTGAAATAGCAACACATCTTTACATAACTAAACAAAAGCAACATAGACAAATGTAACACATCTTTGCCTAGTTAAAGTAATATTCCACAACATTACCACCTTCCTGTCTAAATAAAAAGGAAGGGTTTTAACTTGAACATAGTAAGAATATGTTAAATACACAATAAGAACAGTTTTTAAGTAAGAATTACATTTACAATATCCAGTCCATTTGCATGTGGCAAATTCAGAGAAAATACTCCACTATTAATCCTATCTTAGTGAGTTCGAAGTTTTGTACCTAATTTAGCTGCTATCATAACAAAATGAAACTATGACTATCTAGTCTTCAACTTTATCAGTGACCACAGAAGTCAGCTTACAGCCACTGGATAGAAGGATGACCAGAGACAGAAACTCAATGCCTGGGATCTGGGCATGGAAACTGTAAACCTAGGAGTCTCTATGGTGTCCAAAACAATTCGTTTTAAGGACATAAGCAATGAGTTATCTTTTCCAGCTCTGTGTGGCTTATTTCCAGAAATCAATACTCACCCAGCAGTGAGGGCAGCAAGACGCAAGAGGACTTGGACCTGGGAAGAGCATAAAAAGGCATAAGGGATTGGGAAGTGCCTGCAAACAGGCATTGTAGCCCCACTATAGAAGGCTTACTGTCCCTTGCTCTTGCTCTTTCCAAAGAGGAGCCTACTAAGGTCCAAACCATGATCAGCTCTGTGGGTTCCCTGGTGGCTGCTTTCTGGTCAGCACTCAATCCCTGGACTCTGCTGCTGGCTATTGTCACCTTCCTGTTCCTTGCCGACTTCCTCAAAAGCAGGCACCCCAAGAACTACCCACCAGGACCACAGCGCCTGCCCTTTGTGGGCAACTTCTTTCAAATAGATTTCAAGCAGCTGCACTTGGCACTTCAGCAGGTAGGAAGGAGATTAGTGTGCCTGGTTGTATCCTGATCCTAATCCTGAGCTGGAGATCTGGGGACAATGCAGAGGGCCTGGCCAGGAGGATTGAACTCTATGGCTTGCTAGTTTTGGTTTCTCCCAGTTAATATACTCCATTCTTCTGTCCTCTCCTTTCCAGAACACTGAAAAAGGTCTTTAGTTTATAAGCCCGATCCGGCACACCTGCCTGGTACAGTATTTTGTGGGGTTTTATTTGTTTGTTTTTGTTTAGTTTTGTTTGTGTTTTTATCTTGTATATTTGGTCTATTACTTCTTAAGTTTAAGAACTTATATCAAAACAAATCATTTTAAGTTTACATCTTTTTTTCTTGTTTCTTTATTTATTTGTATGGCGGAGGGGTGTGTGTGTGTGTGTGTGTGTGTGTGTGTGTGTGTGTGTGTCTGTATGTACCTGTGAGAGTGCAAGTGCACATGTATAGACTGGTACATGTGGAGGTAGGATGTCAACCTTGAATCTCCTTCCTTGGAAAAGGAACCATCCAATCATTTTTTGAGATAAGATCTTTCACGGTGCCGGAGGACTTGATGACTAGGCTAGACTGGCTGGCCTGTCTCTGCCTACCCAGAGTTGGGATTAGAAACTAGCACCACCATTTCCAATTTGTTACATGGGTCCTGGGACTCAAATACCATGCCTCATGCTTGTATTTATCCACTGAGTTATCTCCCCAGCCTCAAGTGCTCACCCTTCTCTATTTAATGACTGAGTGTCCTCTCCCTAATGGTACACTTTGAATATTTCATTGTTTTCAACATTTACTTGATTGCTAAATGTATTGGAAATGCATCTCTGCTGTAAAATTTCTGTTTCTCAAGGTTTTATCTTCTTTCTCCAGCTCCAGTTTCAAACCACTACCTCTTTTTTTCTGCTGCTATTATCATTTCTGATTTTAAGTCTCAGTAACTAACTGGGTTGGGGCCACAGTTATTTTGTAACTCGTTGCTTTGTAATGTTGTTAATGGCTTGCTTGATGATGCACAGTGCAAGTCTCCTCCACACTATGACACCATCTCAATGTACTCCTTGTCATTTTATCCACTATACATTCTACAATTGTTACACTAGGGTTCTAAGAGGTCATCTGGCATGTCCCTTTTTACTCAGTTATATCATAAAGGGTTTTGACCCAATTCTTCTACACTGGTAAAATGCATGAGCAAGAAGCCAGTAAAGATAGAATGTGACATTCATTGTTGTAAGGAGTATTATAATGCTGAATCCCAGGCAAGCACAACCACTGACTGACTAGGTTGTAGAAGTTGGCAACTGTCACTTACCTTAATCTGACATTTTTAGCTGACCCAGCCAAATCTTTACTAAATATTCTGAATTAGTCAGAAAATTATTATTAAGGACAAAATTACTCATCTAAACATCCATCAAGATAAAATGAGAAATTTCCTTCTATTATAAGCTCCCATCACTGACTTCTCTTAAAAGAAAAGGCATACACATTAGCTGTGTCCTTATGAGCATGACAGAGAAGCCTGTGCTACAGTGGATGAAGTTAACAGAGGACTCTGGATAAAGAACAAATGAATTACTGAGTCTAGGTTCTAGCTTTAATGAAGGACTAAGATTTAGGAATAAGAACAAATCATTATATTTGCTTTGACAGTGTTAACATAGGCCAGGGCTCTGTGGTCACTGTGGAAAGGTACAAGTTTATTGAAATAAAGATGGAGCTGAACACCACGGATAACGGAAGGAATGGAGTCCTTATGTTTAATAACACTGTGACAGCTGGATATGTCCAAGACAGACAGACGGCAGAGATAGGGTCTACACAGTGCTGACCCTTGAACACATGTTAACATTGATCATACATTATCATTTGTCACACATTTTCACAAGCTTCGACATTCTGTATCTTCACCAACATTCTCCTCCATTCTCTCTGTCTCCATTTTTCTCTCTCTCAAAACCCCCCCTGTTAGTCTGATGGCTGGTCGTCATCATCTAAATTTGAGTAAAGCCTAGAGTCCTATGGACTTATCATGTTAGTCTTCAAATGTTACATAATATCTTGCAAATTCCCTCTGCAGCCAAGACCTTTGCCTCCTTGGCTGCATTAATTTCCCTGCAACTCACTTGCCTTTTTGGACAAATAAGGAAAATGCTCAGAACAGTAAAATCATTATGCAGTTGATGAGATTTAATTTGAAAGATACTGTACATTAACTTGGGGAGTGTCCTGTGTGATTTGGAAATTCACTCTGTCCTTGTTCTCCTCCTTACCATGAGTATGTGCCCTTTATACAAAGAGTTCATTCTTTTCTCAAAGTCTCAGGAGGGAGCTGTGCAGCTACATGTCCGAAACCAGTAAACAGTGTCTTTTGCATTGCTAATCTCACTGTTCCTCAGAGAAAAAATTTAAGAAAGGATGTATGAGCTACTCATATAACCCAGAAGTTCATATATTTATCCATGTCCACCATCCATCCTTGGTTGTACTTTTCATACTTAGCTGAGACTGGGGAGAAAATATTCTCTTCTGGCTAAACAGACAGGTTTATTTACTAAGGAGTCCATGCTTCATGTTTTTTTGTTTTTCTTTGTTTGTTTTGTTGGGTTTTTTTTTGTTGTTGTTGTTGTTGTTGTTGGGTTTTTCAAGACAGGGCTTCTCCATGTAGTTTTGGGGCCTGTCCTGGATCTCACTCTGCAGACCAGGCTGGCCTCGAACTTACAGAGATCTGCCTGGCTCTGCCTCCCAAGTGCTGGGATTAAAGCCATGTGCCACCACTGCCTGGACGAGTCCAGGCTTGTTATAGCATGGATTTACCTGGTCTTTGGCAATTTGGGTGTTTTCTGCTTTACTATAGTCTAAAAGGCTTCAGGTTTGAGATCTTGCTTATTCCTTGACACTTACACTCTCATGGTTTTTTTAGGAGCAAATGGTACACTCAACTAATTCATATTCATCCATAATTATTGATTTTATATAGGGTTAATTTCATTCTTGAAGTTAACTAAATTGAAGTTTAATGCAATGGAAGGGAGGTCAGAAAATTTCCACAGATCAATTTGTATCTCTTCATTCATGAAGAAATACATAAAACCATCATATGATCCCACTGGCTTTGCAGATGCTTAACATCCTAGATCCTCATATAGAGACATATTGAACTCTGATATTGAAATATTTTTTCAGTTTGTGAGGAAGTATGGAAACCTATTTAGCCTGGAATTGGGCAGCACTTCAGTGGTGGTTGTATCTGGATTGCCTTTAATCAAGGAAATGTTTACACACCTGGATCAAAACTTTTTAAATCGCCCTATCAGTCCTGTTAGAGAACGTGTTTCTGGTAATAATGGTAAGTTTCATTGTAAGGTATGTGCTTCAATTTTTTATGGCATAAGAAAGGTACCTCACCATTGACAATCGCATAACAAATGTTATCATTAAAGGAAGTCTCTTGCATTTCCTGATGGAAAGTATTTAGGAAAAGCCACGTATGTTGCTAGGTTTTGCTTTTATGAGGAATTATTAGTAGAAAAGTAATAAACATGACCATAAGAGTGCTGTCTGAAATGCCTTAAATTTGCAAAGCAAAGCAGTTCTGTTTATGGTTTTGGAATATAAGGTAGAGCTAGATAGTGAGTATCAACAGATAGTATTGAAAATTGTAAGAGTTTAGATTTCTCAAAAATGGAGAATGGGATGAAAGAAGATAAGCTTTCCAACCTCATCTTGAGGATTTATGCTATTTTAATGTTTGATAGTAGAAAATAAACTAGCAAGTACTTATATCATCTTTCAAAACTCATGTATACTTTTGCCTGCATTCTATTCTTCCTCATAAACTAATATTTCCATTTCTTGGCCTCCTTTCTAAATGGTATACTATACTCACACTTATACCTATGTAGATACATACATGCATGTATCATAAGTTAAGATGCACATGGGAGAGAAAATGTGCACGTATTTTTCTTTTGGAGTTTGGTCATCTTGCTTAATTATACTTTCTAAGTGCATTCATTTTCTGACAATTTCATTTTACTTTACAGCTAAAGAATATTCTACTTTATATATTTATCACATGTTAATTCTTCATTCATCTGTTGATAGCCATATGGGCTTGTTCCCTTTCTTTGCTATCACAAATACAGTAACAGCAAAAATGGAGATGAAAAGATATCTATTGTAGCAGTGGTGCTTTGAGAATGGACTCTATAGGTTCATATATTTGAATTCATGGTCCTTAGTTGGCTGAACAGCTAGGGAATGTTTAAGAGGTATGGCCTTGTTGGAAGAGTGGTGGTCACTGGGAACATGCTTTTATTCCTTACTATCTCTCTCTGTCTCATGCTTGTGTCTCAAGATGTGAGCTCTTGACTACTGCTCTAGCACTGTTTCTGCCACGAGAGTCATAGCCTCTAACCCCCTGAAGCTGTGAGCTCTGAGTACAATTCTCTCTTTTATAAGTTTCTTTGGATGAAATGTTTTAGTACACCAATAGAAAACTAATTAAGACAGTATAATATGGCATTCCCTGGATATATGCCCAGGAGTAAAATAGGTGGATTATAAGGTAGAACACATTAGTTATTTGGTTTTGTAGTTTCAAAATTGTCATTTTGTTTTGTTTTGTTTGTGGGGGGTAAGTGCATAAAAATGTAGTTGACTCCCAGCATAAGGGAGGCAGAGGCAGGCAGATCTCTGTGAATTCGAGGCCAGCCTGGGCTACAGAGTAAGTTCCAGGAAAGGCTCCAGAGCTACACAGAGAAACCCTGTCTCAAAAAAAAAAAATGTAACTGACCGTGAGTGTAAACCCTAGAGGAAGGTCAACTGCTTAGGAATGGCCAGTCTAATTGTAAGTTCACTGAGTTATATAAAATTGGGACAGGGCAAGTATTTTGAATAGCTACTTAATATATCTGAGTGATGTTTTTATTTCTGAGTTCACTAGAAAAAAGTGGTATTATTTAACTTTTTAAAAAAGTTATTATGATTTGCTATTGAGAAATAGGAAGAAAGAATGTAAGTATTGTCCAGAGTGCTTCTGGAAAGTAGAGGTTCAGGAAAGACAGGTCTAAGCTGCTGAAGGGTCATATAGGATAAGGTTGAGAGGTCTTCTGTTATCTGACATCAGCAATGGCCCTTTTACTTGGAAGGAGAGGTCACAATGATATTGAAGACCATTGAAAAGCATTCTAGAAGTAAATAAATGGAAATAGGTAGGTATTGCCTATGCCATCCAATGGTGGTCTGAGGAGATACCCACACCCACTCCTGCTCTGTTCCTTTGCATCAAATATTCTTTCTTCTTTGCCTTTGGAATCACTTGTCTAGCTTTAAAGGTCCTCTTTATATAGGCTCTCTCCTAAAATGCCAAGAGCATGTACTTTCACTTATTCAGGAGTGCACTCCTGGTATTTAGCTGAACATAAATCATTACTTACATTTATGTGACTTACAGCTAAAGTATGGCTTTGGCATCAGGGAACCTTGAGTTTTGTATACTTGTTTAGCAACTATCTATGTGTCCCTTCAAAGCCTGAATGTATCCCGTTCCTTGCTTTTCCTACTGTTCTAGTTTGCTTTCTGTTGCTGTGAAAAACTCCATGACAAAGGCATTTTGGAGAAGATGGGCTTTATTTCAGCTCAAGCATTCAGATTATACTTCACTATTGAGATAAGTCAGGGAAGGACCTGAAGCTGGGACTAGAGTGGAAACCATGGAAGAACAACACTTACTGCCTAGCTTACTGACTAAATCTCAGATAGCTTTCTTACATATCCCAGGCCTGAATACTCAGGGATGGCACCACCCATGGTGGCCTAGGGGGTGGACCCTCACATATTTATCATTAATCAAAACAGCCTTTCACAGACATGGGCAAAGGCCACTCTGATTGAGACAACTTTTCAATTGTGGTTTCCTTTTCTCAAGTGACAAAATCTAATCAGGATATCTGCTAATAAAATGTACCTGTCTCGAAAAAAATATGTACCCCAGGTTTTGCTGATAAACCTATGGAGTTTATGTTTTAAATTACATGATATAGAAACTTTTTTCAAATTCCTGATGTTCCAAGCTACCAACAGTATTGACCATTCTGTCCATTGTTGGAGATTTTTGCACAGATGGGTTTTCATGTCTCTAGTGTTTGCCACAAGTTCATATAACAGACTCACAGTATTATAATCGTGAATTTCCTTTTTCCAGGATTGATTGTATCTAATGGTCAGACATGGAAAGAACAAAGAAGGTTTGCCCTGATGACACTGAGGAACTTTGGATTGGGAAAGAAGAGCTTAGAGCAGCGCATCCAGGAGGAAGCCCTACACCTTGTAGAGGCCATAAGAGAGGAGGGAGGTGGGCATCTTATGGGCAGGTGCTGGGGACTGTGACAGCTATTTATTAGTTCCTAATTACTTTGCTGTTCTTCTGACATAATACTTGATGGAAGGAAAGGTTTATTTTGACTCACACTTTCAGGGTATGCCCTTCATGGAAAGGAAGTACTGATGCTAGGAGCATAAGGCAGTGGGTCATATTGAACCTACAGTCAATTAGTATAGAGAATGCTGATGCTGGTGCCCTTCCTCATCTTTGTTCAATCTGGGACCCTAGGAGATGCTGCTGCCCACCTTTGAGGTGGGTCTTTCTGCTTCAGTTAAACCTTCCTGGAAAGTTCCTCACAGATACTCAAAGATATGTTTCTATGGTGATTCTACATCCAGTCAGGTTGACAAGGAAGATGAACCATCATGGCGTTTATGCCAGCCCTTGCAGTGTGCTATGATCAAATAGTGAATGTCTTACCATAACCTTGAATAGGAGTGCTGCAGAACAGGTCATCAAACACATTATTGAATTTAAAACTTGTGTATCTGACTTTCCAGGCACTGACTAAATCCTTGATGAATTCTAGCCCCATACACAATTCTTTGGATACAGCCTCTCATATGTATCTCTGTTATGTATGTCATGTGAAGTTGAATGTCTATAGAAAATAGAAACAAATAACTTTGAAGGACTCATCTCCCCCTCTCCCCACCTCCAGGACAGCCTTTTAATCCTCACTTGAAGATAAAAAATGCAGTTTCCAATATCATTTGCTCTGTCACCTTTGGAGAGCGCTTTGAATATGAAGATGGCCAGTTTCAGGAGCTGCTGAAGTTATTGGATGAGGCCATATATTTGCAGGCTTCAGTGATGGGTCGAGTAAGTAGAAAGACCACTTTCCCTGACTTGCTTGGGGATCTTGAAACTGCTACTGGAGATAGAGTCTTCAGTTTTGTTTTTTGTTTTTTTTGTTTTTTTTGTTTTGTTTTGTTTTTTGCTATTATAAATCTGAAATATAATCTTTTAAGTCTGAATTCGATATAAATCCTTGAAATCAGCCTGTAGAGTTTTGTATTTTCAATAATAGGGAATATTATAATAAGCATTTCTAACTTTCATGAAAAGCAATAACTGTATGCACATATTTGAGGCTATGCAGTTTTTAATCTAATGATTATTGTTATTCTCAATGTTCACTAACATTGATATTGTTATTAACAATTATTAATGATTATTGACTAAGTCTAGGTCTTTGGAAATTCAAATTGGTGATATCCTGATTCTTTATTGTGTCTTTACAATTGGATTTTGCTTAACGATGTTGTTTTGATCTACTTTGGCAAACTCCTGTAAAGGTTATAAGCACTATGTGACTGATTTCTTAGACAAATATATCATATGTAAATGAATAAAGGATACTCCTTTATTCGCCTTTGAATTTTTGCACATGTGTGTGCATGTGTGTCTGCAGAGTTGTGTGTACATGTCCTTGTATGTACATATTTGTGCATGTGTTTGTATAGGTACACATATGTGCACCTGAGTGCCAAGGATAAATGTCTACTTTGTGTTTAATCCTCAGTCACTCTCGAGCTTATTTTTTCAGCCATGGTTTCACATACAATCCGCAGCTCACCAAATCCACTAGAATAGTTGGCTAGCAAGCCTGAGGCACCCTCCTGTTGTTCCTTCCCAGTGTTAACATTACAGGTACACACTGCCACACGTGGCATCTTTTGTGGCGTTAGGAATCTGAAATAAGATAAACTAATAATAATAGCAATTATCATCATTATTATTAACTATCAAAGAATTGTTAATCTACCATCCCTAGAAAGCATCACAGCTAATATTCATACCCATGTCCTTACCATTTATACCATACTATTAACTTTCTGCATAGTAGTAAAAACAGTTGATTCAACAGTCGCATTATTTCAATAAAAATACAGTTTTACTCATATGGCAATTACATCATAATTAAGAGACACTATGGTGTAGAATTACCTGCAAACACAGATGTTTCTAATCATTTTCCTGAGGAAAATAGTCATGACAGAGGAATAGAGAGAGGGTGACAGACAGCTATCACTTAGAGGATCACCTGGAAGACAGTTCTAAGGAGGTGCCCCTTAGCAGAGGCTTCATGAACACAGGAGCAGGGGTTACATGGATTTCAGAGGAGAGATTTCTGGGCATGATGAGTTACAGCTGAAAATGTTTAAAATCAGGTGCAAGCACAGAGGACACAGCACATCATAAAGAGTAAAGTGACAGGAAGAGGGAAACAGGTACTCAAGGACCAGCTGAATAGAACCTACAGTGAAAAGTCACTGGACTTGCTGTGAGTATAATGGAAACACAGTGGATGACTGAGTCAGGCTAAAGTCATGTGTTTAAATGGTCAGATGATTATTCTGGAAGTCCTATAGGTTACAGGCTGAACATGAGCATAAGACTAGAAAACTACTTCATACAATGGCAGCATCCAGGTAGAAGAGATGGTGGCGTGCACCAGCGAGCAAGCAATCGGGATGGTGAGAAGAGATTTGAGACAGTATATTTTCCTTGGTGGAACCAAAATGCTCACTATGGAACTGAGAGAGAAAACCTATGTCAGAGTAGTTCACAGCTTCACTGTGAGAAATGAAGAGGGAAAAACCAGACCATCTTAAAACCTGGTGTTTTTATGATTGTCTTATTTCCCCAATCAGCTCTACAATGTCTTTCCATGGATAATGAAGCATCTTCCTGGACCACATCAAAAAATTTTTAGAAACTGGGAAGAACTGAAATTGTTTGTTTCTCATATAATCAATAAACACAGAAAAGACTGGAATCCTGATGAGTTGAGAGACTTCATTGATGCTTTTCTAAACGAAATGGGAAAGGTGAGAAGATGCTGCCTGTAACATCTTATGGAAGAATTAGAGGTTTAATAGTTTCCAACTGATGCTAAAACAGCCTACTGCAACTTGATGATTTTAAATTTCACATGTGATTTATTCAGTTACAATTCTGCAAAACAAAAACCCACATAAGGTTCTTTATGTTTACAGTGGGCTAAGTGTGGGTATATGCTATCTGCTTTAGAAAACTTTGGGAACTCAATTTTTAGGACTGTCTCTCTGCATCTAGAAGACATCTACATGCCTAAGCTTGTAGGAATTTCCTCAATGTCCATGCTGGTACTGGTCTTTCTTTCCGTCAGTTCCCTCTGAGTCTGATCCTATTCCTACTTCTTCTAAATCAGTGGTTCTCAACTTCCCTAATTCTGCAGCTGTTTAATACAGTTCTTCATGTTGTAGTGACTCCCAACTATAGAATTATTTTTGTTGCTACTTGATAACTGTAATTTTTCTACTGTTATAAATCATAATGTACACTATCAAAAGCCTTCTTGGTACCTGCCCTGAGGGGTTTTCTCCCAGAGTCCAGGGTAAGAGGCTTACAAGCAGCAAGATTCTAATCTAAGGGATATCAAATGAATCTATGCACACTGTGCTCTTTCAGTCCATTTACTTTATTGTTCTAAGTCATTTCTCATGTTTCTCTTGCCTGACTTCTCACATTTCTAACAGGAGACTCCTTGCAATCCTGAGAAAAGTTTCAAAACCCTCAAGGTCATAGCACATTCCTGTAATAGACAATAAGGAGCAGAACCATTACCATAGTAAGGCAAGGTTCCAATGTCTCAGGACCAGAGGAAAGGGGCGCAGTACCCAGTGTCACAAACTCTGAGACAGCTTTTGTATCAGCAGACTTGGCAAGCAAAGAATTAGCAGGCTTCTCTTAGGGTATTTTGTGTTGGTAGCCTTGGTAAGACACCTGCGACTCTGGCCTTGTGCATAACTATAAAGTTTTAAATTTATGATCTATATACAAAGGACTTTAGTCTGGATTGATCTTGCTCTGAGGTTAAAAATGAGCAAAATGTGTATAGTCTGTGTTAGACTGAGGAGAGATTACTATTTTCTGTGTTGGGCTGAGGAAAAGGAATAAAGCAGACTTTAAGGGTCTACAGTCTCATGGGACAATGGATCTGGCCATGAAGCATATCCTAGTATATTTTCTATATACCAAAATTATACAGCTAAATGAAAAGTGATCTTCCTGATCACCCACAGATATATGTGCTCACAAGACTGAGATGTAATCATGAGATTACATATATTCATTTTATGAAAATGCATGGTAATGGGAAGGTAACATAGCTGTTATTTCACAAGAAGTTTACAACAAGAAACAGCCAATTCATTCAAAAGGCAGTAACTCCAACACACCTTGAGTGATGGCTTAGTCCTCTACCAGAACCCTTGGTTCTGATAGGTTGACATTTTGAATACTAGTTGCCACCTGTTTTATACTCCATGCCCTTTTGCTAACAGCAACTCTCAATAGTACATGTCTGTGTTTTCAGATTGTCTTCGATGACCCTCATAAAAGGGACCTTGACCACCAAATGGGTCATGACCCATCAGTTGAGAACCATTATTCCTACCACTCTTGTAATTACACCAGGGCTATTTGACTAAATTATGACTTCTAATTTCAAAATCCTTATATTTATAACATCTGTAAAAGTTTCTTTTGACAAATTAGATAATCAGCACATGTTCTAGAGATATGGGTGTAGGCTTCTTAGTGAATCATTATTTAGTCTACCTGAGATGAGTAAGCATAAGGCCAGAATTTTATAAGTGTGGTATGGCATCAACTTGTTTTACAGCATTGAAAATATCAAAATACTGTCTTTACTTTGTGCATCCCCCATCACTTGTCCATATCTGAATAACTATACAAAAGTCCAGAGTAGCAATTAACTTTGAGAATTCCATTTAATTGAAAGTCAGACCTGAAACCAATTGTCTAGACCATTTCAATCCCCACGTCAGAACACAAGAAACATTGAGTTGAATGCTAGAATTTACTCAGAAGGTTTAGATGGGATTTTTGCCTTCGTCTTTCCCCCTTATCACCACCATCCATCCTTCTAGACAGGACTCAGTAATACAGCCAAACTGGATGTAGTTTTTAGTTCAGTGGGCTACTCACTAAAGTACAGCATTGAATCATCATTGTCATCTGTGACTCATGGAATTTGAACACCTCTTCTTTCAGTGAGAAAATGATGAACTTATTTCACCTTCTTTTATTTCTTCTTGTTAGCATAGTAATCAATAAGCACATTGTCTCCTCATAGGACCATATGGGGTTCAGGTATGGGCTATTAACATGAAAAACAATATTGACAAATTGAAGTTTCAGGAGGAAGGTGGTAAAGACAATGGGATTTGATAAGAAATAATTGATGGAAACAGAGGTTTCAACTATAAAAGTTAATATGGTGATGGATTTGTTTCACAGAGAGGAATTTATTTTATTCTTTCAGATACTCACAAAAATAATGGGATTATTGACTGTTTGCCATGTTTTACTTAATTTTCATGAATTAAAAATGTCCTATCAAGGAATGTGTCTCATTCTCTCCTTATAAAATGCATCTGAAGAATGGAATGTAAAGTGACTTTCTCTATGTCAAACACTTAGATATAATACTGTTGACTTTGGAATCTAAGTTTGTCAAAGGCAATCCCTTTCTCTTTTCACTGTAATGGTTTCTCAGAATTTAAAAGCATGTGAATGTGGTAGTCTTACTTTCCATTCATGTGAATGCTAGAAGCTTTCTGTGAACACTTGGGTCTAATGATTATCTAAACTACTCTATTATTAATAAAAAGTCAGGAGTCAAATAGAGGGTTAAAATCTGATTGGTCAGAGAAGTTGCGAAGAAGTGCCCAGTGACTTCCTTTCTCTCTGCTTCCTCAATCCAAAAAAGCCATGCATTTTTTTAAGCCCCTCCCCTCTATTTGCTGTGTCTCTCTATATGTCCTCAGTCCTCGAAAACTTCTATGGCTAGTTTTGGTCAGCTAGTAACTAGCTCTTCTTTCTAATTTAAAGTAAACTTTATTGTCACAGCAGAGTGGCAAGTGCAAACAATTCTCACACAAATTTCCTCCTTTCGTCTAAATAAGTTATTGTACCTATGCAGCTCAATTGAAAATTTAATGTAAAGTTCTAGTCCTTGAAAGCTATTTAGGATAATAAAGAAATACAGGTCAGTAAGTAGTCATCTATAACAATCAAACTTTTAGTTATGTTAGATTTGTTTTCAAGATCAATTTTAAATTTTAAATATATAGATGGTCTTCAAACACTTCAGAGACCTACAAAATATGATGTTTAAAATGCTTTAATAACATAAGGCTTTTCATGACTGTGAGACATGTGTGCTCCTGGAAATACCAATTTACTTCAAAAGAGGATGACAGGCTTCAAAACCTTTTCTACATAGGTCTCTATTTTTTCCACTCTCTTTGTGTGGTAAAAATGTCCAAACTAAGGCACTATCCTCTCTGCATAAGAATTCCCATGGGAAAATGCGCAGAAGGTAGTGTGACCAGGGTACAACCAAGCTTTGGACCCAAGTGATCCGCATGTACATGCTATAAATTATCTTTTACCAAATAATTCCCTTTCAGCCTCAGCTGATAATTTTCTTGGACTACGTAAGTCCTTATCACCTTGTAAGATTTGAAAAAAATTACCCAGTTCTTGAGGAGTTAATTCAATTGTGGGCCTTAGGCAGTTAATACCTCCCAGCAATTTTTGAAAATCATTAAGAGTTTGTAATTGATCTCTCCTGATTTGTACTTTATGTGGTTGAATATTTTTAAAACCTATCTTATATCCTAGGTAATTAAGAAAATCTCCTCTCTGCATTTTTTCAGGAGTAATTCATAATTCCCAACATGGAAAATTTTTTTTTACTTCTACATACATTTTTGCTAAGGTATCTGTGTCCTAATCAATAAGATATCACCCATATAATAGTAAATTATAGATTGAAGAAACTGCTTACAAATTATTTTAATGGCTATTGTACAAAATATTGACATAAAGTGAGAGCTGTTTAATGTACCTTGTGGAAGAAATTTCCACTGATACCTTTTAACAAGTTGGGAATTATGAGTAGGCACTGTGAAGGCAAACTTTTTTCTATCCTGTTCTTGTAAAGGTATAGTAAAAAAGCAGTCTTTTAAATCAATCACTATAATAGATCACCCTTTAGGTAATAAAGAAGACAAGGGAAATTCAGGCTGTAAAGAGCTCATTGGCTAAATCACCCTATTTATGGCTCTTAAATCTGTTAATATTCTCCATTTTCCAGATTTCTTTTTTCTTTTCATTTTTCTTTATTAAGAAATGTTTTACTCACTCTACATACCATCCACAGATCTCCCCTCCTCCCTCTCCCACCCTCCCAAGCCACCCCACATCCCCACATCCCCACATCCCCTAAATCAAGGTCTCCCATGGGAAGTCAGAAGAGTCCGGGAAAATGAGCCTAGGCAGGTCCAAGGCCCTCCCCATTGCACCAAGTCTGTGTAAGACATCACAACAGATTTCATTTTAACAGCAAATAAAGGAGAATTCCAAGAACTGGTCAATTCTTCAATATATTAAGTGTCTAGTTGATCCAGTAACAGCTGTTCTAGTTCCAGTAATAATTCTGATATCAAAGGTCATTGTTACATACACACAGGTTTGTTACTTAACCATTTTAAAGGTATGGCTGTTGGTACCTTTGAAAGACCACCAACTACTGTGTCCTTCTTATGTACAACCTGAGCAGTCTATGGATGTTCTTGATAATACCATTTAATATTTCTCTCAGAAGCATTCTTTATTTTATGATTTGTTTCTGATATTGGAAGAATGTTAATCTGTGTTCTTCAGTGCTGAAACAAATCACACCCCTACAAATTCATTGTTATGTTAGCCATATGTGTTTTTAATTTTCCTATCTATCCTTTTGGCCCTATACACTCAACACAGCTTGCACTGGGTTTTTGAGATAAAGTTCAAATCCCAAGAAGGCGAACATTTACCTCCTGAAGAGGCCAATCTGCATGCCAAGATTTTGGTGAAATCATTGTGTCTGCCATACCTTCAATTTCAATGCCATTTGTATGTATTTTTTAGCACTGGCCTCTGATCATTTATAGCAATTTGCTAAAATACTTGTTTTCTAGTCTCTCCTGACCTTTTTGTTGTATCTATAGAAATTATTCTGTTTTTGGTCACACCCAGAGCATTGTAGTTTTTAACAACAGGTATTAATTATTTTAATTGCTCTGTGGATGACTTTCTCCAATGCTCACATGGAATGATTGAGCCAAATTTAATATTGGGGCCAGCAGGATACTCCCCCCAGGGCATTTTCTAGTGGCAAAGGGTTACCTTTTCTGTCCCTTGTTTATCTGCATTCATTAGTCTAATGCTAGTCTTTGGCATACTTTCTGTATACTTCAGAAGGCTGTGGCCTTCTGTTGGATTATCTCTAGGAAACACATTGTCTCTAGTAACATCTTCCCTACAATTCCTTTTCATATGACCTTGTTTACATGATTAAAACATCTGAAATTTTGATTTTTCTTAAAATTTCTAGAAATTACTTATTCAATCAGAGCAGCATCATAAGCATAGGAACCAATATCAGCCATATTTCTAATCTATTCATCTATTGGTGCCAATCTTGTATTTGAAGACCTAATCACTGTTTTACATTCTGAATTAGCATTTTCAAAAGCCAAATGTTCAATTAATATTTGACTAACTTTTGGATCTAATATCGTTCTATTTTATGGCTTAAGTCAATCTTTGTAAAAAAAAAATCAGTGAAGACTTCTTTTGGGCCTTGTATAATTTTAGTAAATGACTCAGTCTTTCCTGATTCTTCAGTCCTGTCTTCAGCATTCAAAACTGTTTTACAACATAGCACCAAGGTGTGATCATGAAATATAAACTGTCTTTGCAAATCAACATACCAGCCCTCACTGAGAAGCTGGTCTTGGAAAATTTCTATACCTCTCGCCCTACTTCTATATTCTATGATTCTAGGTTCCTCTTTCCACCATTTTGTCTATTGTAACTGATGGCCAGCTTCTAATATTGCTGTAGCTAAGTCTTTCCAGTCTTGTGGGAAAATTTTGTCCCAAGTTGCCCATTAATTTAACATCTGCTTCACATAGGGTGAATGCATACCATATAAAATGACTGCTTCTTTAAAACTCTTCAAATCTAAAACTTCTACAGGAGTCCAGTCAACTTCTATATAACCTTGGGGGTCCCTATCATCTGGTGCTCATTCTTATATGATAAAAGAATAAAACAAGCTTGGTTTTCTAATAATCTTGGTTTGCTCCTCTTCAGTTTCATAATGCACCAAGGCATTAGGTTCTACTCTAAATTCCTCTGTCTGTGCCTGAATATTTTTCTTATTTTCATTAAGAAGTCTTTCTAAGTCTTGTATCTTATCAGTCATATTTTCATTCCCCCGCAATACTTGGGAAGGAGGACATTTGTGATACCTTTGCTTCCTTGTGAAGTCATACATAGGGTCATTTTTCCTGTACTTGTTTCCTTTTAAGTTCACTTACCAGGGTGAAGATCTTGTATGTAGAGGCAAACAAAAGTCTCTGGATAAATGAGTACATACTGTCTTTTCTAGTACCCAGACAATACTACCAGTTTCAATGAAGAAAACCTCATTTTTAGCACTCTGGACCTCTTCCTTGCTGGAACAGAGACAACATCTACGACACTGCACTGGGCTCTGCTCTACATGGCTCTCTATCCAGATGTCCAAGGTGAGCATGTGATTTGACTTGACAAGGTGAAATGATGTTTCCGGAAACTGTATCTCGGATGGGGCTGGAAGACGGCATTTTGAATTGGGAATATGCAGAATAACTATGAGGGAATGAACACTTAGGAATATACACATCCTGCAAAAATGTTTTAGGACTATGATGGCCCTGGATACAGCCAGCACAGAGACTGTTCTTTAAAAAGCTTGGAGTCTAGGTGAAAACAGAGCAGTCAAGTAACACAAGTTACTTGGTAAGTTCCAACTAAAGTAGTGTTATCGAATTAGAATCCACTGATGCACTCCTTTGTCTTTAGCTATGTGTCACCATTTTTCCTTGATACTGTGCAATCTCCCTAGTTTTGTATCTGACATCTTGTGATGCCATCTCCCTGACCTACAGCCTCAATCCCACTCATCTTGCATGTGGTCTTACTCCATTACATGTCCTCTCTTTTCACTGCCCTTATTCTTACTTCAAATCATCTTCAAGACATACTGTCTTCCCACTACCAACAGTAGAATGTACTGTTCTAAGTTCTCCCCAATCCAGAAAAATCTGTCAGGAACTACCTCCTTAAGATGCTTTAGATTCCTCCAGAAATTTTTTGACTGGGAAATTACTGTTAGTCCTTTCCTCCAGAGATGACCCAGTGTGCTTCTATTGCTACATGTTGTTCATTGTTGATTTCTCTCCACTGGTTTAAAGAGAGTGGTCCATTCTTTCCTTCTTCTTCCTCTTAGTTCTAGAAGATTTTAGCAGGCAAGGTTAGAAAACCTTTTCATTTTTGTGCAATAGTTTTTTTTTCAAATTGTGACTAAAAATTCATTAATGTACTATAGCATTTATTTAGTAAATTTAGAACAAGGCAGGGCAGTGGTGGGGCACGCCTTTAATCCCAGCACTTGGGAGGCAGAGCCAGGCGGATCTCTGTGAGTTCGAGGCCAGCCTGGTCTACAGAATGAGATCCAGGACAGACACCAAAACTACACAGAGAAACCTTGGCTCAAAACATACACACACACACACACACACACACACACACACACACACACACACACACAAACAAAAACAAAAACAAAAATAATTTTAGAATAACACTTGATTAAACACTAAGATGAAAACAGGGTAGCCTAAAACTTAATGGACCTTTCTTCTTTCTTTCAGAAAAAGTACAGACTGAAATTGACAGAGTGATTGGTCATGAGAAGAAGGTGAGCCTTGCTGACCGGGATGCCATGCCTTATACTAATGCTGTCATCCATGAGGTACAGAGGATGGGCAACATCGTCCCATTAAATGTTCCTAGAGAAGTGACAGTTGACACTACGTTTGCTGGATTCCACCTGCCAAAGGTAACTATGCACCCCCAACCTCAGACACCCCAGTCCATCTTGGACAACAGCTTCAGAACCCAACTTTTAAAGATGATGGGTATTCATGCCCTAAGAAATTATTTCAATGGGGGAGAGAGAGTTCTGACAAAATTCCCCAGTTATCTAAATGGATATTCACACATATTGTTGACAGTGGTGTTGGAAATGGCTTTGATCAAACGTATTTAGGTAAAACATAGCTTCATTTTCTTGGAAAAGTCTTATCATCTTCCTGTGTTAATGTGAGAACCAAACCAGCAACAGTTTACTGTCATACATTGTCCCTTTGAGCAGGTCTTAGGACTAAGTACCTGCCACGTTAAATGTAGGAAATTCTTCACAATCCTCAGAAGACAGAATTTTAAGAAACACCATTTGAGATACATTCACAAACACCATAGTGAGGCTAACATTTCTAACAGTGTCCCCATGGCATGTTTCCAGCTTTTACATATAGCCCCAAAGTCACACAAACAAAGCCAGTCCAAACTTTTTAATTATAAAAGATGGTGAGAAGAGAACAATAGTTATTAAGCAGTTATAATGTGCTATAGACTCTGATCTCTTTCCAAACGTCTTACTCCTTTTTCAGAGTGACCTTCAATCTCCATTTTCTAGGCTGGAAAGTTGAGGCTCAGGGAAATTGAATTTACATAAGATTTCTCTGCTGCAAGGTAACAAAAGATGGTATCCAGAACCAACCCTGGTCTGAGGATTAATACTGCCCCATGATCCAGCCACAGGACTTGCTATATTTGACATTAAAGTATGTCCCTTCCATTTTCCTCAGTGAGTTCCTGTTCACCTCCCCCACCCCCATCTTCACAGAATGAATGCTGATACCCTGATGCCCCATCTCTCCTGGCCCTTAGCATCCCCTCTCTGTAACATATAACTGAAGATCCATTCTTACTCTCTACTGTAGTTTCTGAGGATCTAGATTGTCTAAGCGTCTTGAATGTATGGTTCTTGGAGATGCTCTCCAGCTAAAGACCCAGAAGAGCTTGTCCAGCCATCACCCCACGGCCACCTTCTCTACAAAGGCAGAGAAATAGCCACTGTGTTTACTGTTACTTTTATCACTGAGAAGCTCAAGGTTAGAAGTTGAGGTCTGGATTCCCCAGGTGCTGTGTGCTTTTTTCCTATTCATTCATTTAACTCCGGGAAGCCAGTGAAACTCTTTCCATAAGCTTTTAACATCAACTCTAAAACACTCCTGAGTATTGAGGAATCTAAATGGCTATGTCCAACAGAACCTGAAAGCCAAAGCCTTAACAGCAGAAAGGCCTGGTCCCAGTGTTCCAGTGATGACCTCACCTTCTGTCACTATGGTATCGTATTACCAAACCACGAACAGCTTCAGGTTTTTTTTTTTTTTTTACTCCACCCACTTCATTGGATCCAAATGGGGATAAAATGAGATTACATTTGCATGGTATAATGTTCAGCATTTAAGGTATTTTTTGTTAATCATATCAATATTCATTAAACACTTGAAACTTTGGTTTGAGTTGAAGGAGATTTAGAAATGAAGTATACACTCCTAAGATGTGAGGACATCCCAGAAGTAAATACTCTGTTTCTCTGCATATGATGAGGATATGAAGTGAGAAGCATGAACTGGAAAGAAATTATTCTGAACTTCTGAAGGAAGAGCTTTTGGAGCTGAGGGTTAAATGGGGGTTGAGTTAGCTATGTGAGCACAGGAAGAGAAACACACCCAATAACAAGAACAGTGTTGAAACACGGTCTAGTGGAAACCCTACAGGAATACTACTACAGCAGGAGACCAGCCAGAAGCAAACAATGGCTCTGTTGGGACATAACAGGAGTCTTTGCCCTAAGAGTATGAGGAGCCAGCTTCCTAGGAATGAGGAGTGAGTGTGTGGGCAATGAAACCAAGTCACGTGTCAAACTCACTCAGCTTCAGGCTGTGGAGCTGAGTTAAAGCTGATAGGTAATTGCATGCATCTAGGAGAACAGAGTGGAAGGGGTCACTAAAGTTGAAGTGATAAACTGAAAAGGTGGTGATAGAATCTATAAAGATTTAAGGAATGGCCCAGCCTTCCTGATGAAAGAACAACATGAAGGAAATGTCTCATGACTAGGGACCATGCATATACTTACCAAGACAAGAGTTCCTTCTGTTGCATCCAAGTATCTTTGACAAACTTTGGTGGAACTATGTGTTGTCTCCTTAACACTGGATGAAAGAGAACAGAGAAGCAGTGGCAATGTTCTGTGGACCTAACCATAATGAGCAGCAAGCTCCTTATATCCCCTTGGACGCTTGCAGGACCTTTCCCTAGACAGACATATACAAACCTCTTCCTATTAAGCAGATGCATTTTGTAACAAAGAGTAGTCTAAATTTGCTGATAAAATTCCTATGAAAGAATTGCAATCCAAGACTAAAAGGTATTGTGTATAAAAGTAAAATAATGGGTGTATACTTCAAATGACAGTAGAGAAGTAGGTTGGTGAGGGTGGAAACTTCAGGATATAAAAAGGAGTCTCAGGCATAGTAACTTGAGAGACACTTCCCCAGTCCAGCTACCTGGGTATGTGTGCCAAATTTCAAGCTATGAAACTTCGCTGCCTTCTTTAGGGAACCATGATCCTGACCAACTTCACCGGGCTACACAGGGACCCCAAAGAGTGGGCCACTCCAGATACATTGAATCCGGAGCACTTTTTGGAGAATGGACAGTTTAAGAAGAGAGAATCTTTTCTGCCATTCTCAATGGGTGAGTTGTGATGAGTAAAAGACACTTCAGAGCTCCTCCTTGGTCCTTTGCCCTCTTCTCTCTACAGTCCTCTGCTTCAGGTGTATTCTTAGAATGTGGCCCTTCCTGTGGCTCCATCCCACTGTTGCTGTGAACAGGGACCACTTATTTCTCTCTGGCTCTATTTTTCACATGTGGAAGAGACCCAAATCCTGACTTCTCTTCACAAAGAAATCTGGATACCTGCTATATTTCTAGAATTTTAAAATGTTCAGAGTTATTTTAAGGGGATGCTCTCTTACCTTTTACTCAGAAATAGAGCTGTATATTAATAAGGACATTGGATGAAGTCAGGAAGGACTCCCTACTTAATACAATGAGAACAGGAACAACAATTTTAAGTGGCATCTGGAGAATTCAACTCTTCTTATAAGTGCCAACTGCACTTTTGAAACCCAGTCAGCACTTATGCATGAGAACAAGATGAAGGATGTCACCTAGCATAAATCCTTCTGATAGAACAGATGATGTACAGTCTAGCAATTCCTTCCAGTCACTCTGCTGAGAATCGCCTCAGATTTTATATCACAGCCCATAGTTACAGCCACACTCTTCAGCTGAAACTCTGCTTGCTGCTAATGACATGAAATTCTGAGACGCTTCCCCTGATGTTTGCGGCAACAGCAATGAGAGGAATCTTCAGACGATAATAACTTTAACATTTTATTTATCTCTTTGGGGGAATGGTTCACACATACCATAGCATAAGTTTTAGGTCAAAATACAACCTACAAGAGTAGATTCTTTCCCTCCATCTTATGGTTCTACTGTATGGAGTTCATGTTGTCAGTCTTGGCGCTAAGTGACTTCACCCACTAAGTCATATTGCTATCCCCACCAAGGCCTTTAAATTGAAGAACACTCTGGGGCAAGAGAATATTAGATAGGTGATTTGTCTTCAAATCTTATAAGTATCTTTCCTATAGGTGCCTCCTTTTCTCCAGGTGTAAATAGTTTTTCCTGCTTTCATTAGCCTCAAAATGATTGTTTTTAAAAAAGCAAACCATGATTCGGTGATGTCTTGCTACTGAGAATTGTGTTGCGTTCTTTAAGTGCAGATTTCGGGGAACAAGTTTGCTTTCTATTGCTGCGAGAAACATCATGATGATAAGCCACTTGAGAAAGAAAGGATTTAATTCATTTGACAGTTTATAGTCCTTTAGGAAGGGAAGTCAGGAGAGGAACCTGGAGGCAGAATTTGAACATATACCATGGAGGAATACTGTTTACTGGCTTGCTCCCCATAACTTGCTCAACCAGCTTCCTTATATAACCCAGAACTGCCTACACAGCTGTGGGACTCCTGCATCAATTGTTCATCAGGAAATTACCCTATAGGCTTGCCTACGGGCAATCTTATGAGTCTATTTGCTCAGTTGAGGTTTCATCTTCCCAGATGACTCGAGCTTGTATCAAGTTGACAAAAAATGAACTAGGACACATGTCATCTCCTGTAATCTATTCATTCAATAATTATTAGAGAGAAAATGGAATGGTATCTTCTTTCTTACTATAGGCAAACACAAATATTCTAAGAATATGCATTTTTATAACATGACTTAAGCTAAGCTTTATACTTCTAGTCAGGTTCTCTATTATAACCAGATTGAAGCTTGCCTCAAAATTTACAGTCCTTTTCACTTTTTAACTGAGTTCATATGTATCAGTTAGTACCTCACTGTATAGCAAACAGTCTAAAATAGTATTACTCACAGTTACTGTTCACAGTGTACAGATCTGCTCAGTGGCTCTTCCACGTGTAGGTGGACAGCTAGCTGACTGCAGCGCAAACAACGAATTTTTAATATACACAGCGTTCTTCTCACTTTATTTCCCCTCACTCCAGCAAACCAGCTGGCTTTTCATATGGTGATGATAACGTCCCCAGAGAGAGAACATAAGCAGAGAAATCTGGTGGAGTCCAGGGTAGAACTGGCACTGCATTCTGAACTTCCACTTTACACAGTAACTTCCATTGCATTCTGATGGCTTAGACAAGCCACAAGGTCAGTCCCACCTCAAGGGGAGGCAAATTATTGCAGTCTTTGATTGGAATAGCATCTAAGTCCCAGTACATGTACCCATAATGTGGAACCTAGGGAAGATGGTAACTAGAATTGTTTTGTTATCATCATCTTTTTCTGATATAGAGGATTAAAATTTATTTGCCCAGGCATAAATAAAGACCAGTTAAATTAGCAGAGTGGAAATAGCCAGTGAGTTAGCATCATGCCTGTAGCTATCTGGATTTTCTGTCTTATTCCTACCTTTGGCCCCGCTGCTTTTCCCACACTTGCTCTAGACTTCCTAGAAGCAGCCTCTACAAAAGCATGAAGTAAAGATACTCTTTTTCTCTTGACAAAGATAAGTAGACATGGGATTAAAATTCTTGCATTATCAGGGCAGACTGCAAAATCATTCTTGAATTTTGCACTCCTCCCCCCCACCCAGACAGAGTTTCTCTGTGTAGCTTTGTGCCTTTCCTGGAACTTGCTTTGGAGACCAGGCTGGCCTCGAACTTGCAGAGATCTGCCTGCCTCTGCCTCCTGAGTGCTGGGATTAAAGGAGTGCGCCACCACCGCCCGGCGCATTTCTATTTATAGCCTAAAGCAAAGGACAGTTTATGGTAAACCAGACCTCCCCTCCTTATTAAAAGATAAAAACACTGGTTTACAGGAGCTAGACCTAGAAAGAACTTTAAAAACAAACAACAACAACAGCCATTTCCTTCATTTTAGTCGTGAGGCGGTTTGACTCCTATGTATTGTTTGTGTTGTGAAGATGATCCAAGTACAGTTTTAATTGCATCTTTCTATCACTGACACAAAGACTTTGGGGGGAGGGCAGAGAGTAATTTTTGGTTCTTAATATCAAACTTATTTGTTAATTTAGACAAAATCTTTGAAATTGGGTATTCCTTGTTTCATCCTTTTAAAATCCTGTTTGTTCCTTCTGGCTAATTGTCATGATTGCCCAGTCATGGAGCTTGTATAGGAAACTTGCTGTGTGTTTGTCAAGTGAAAAAGATTTCACTGTGTGAAAATGAGTGAGTTAGTCACAGTCACACGGTGGTCCCTGATGGAGCTTGTTCTTGAACATGGGTTCTGGGTCAAGTTTTGTCCTGGAAGAGGAATACTTCTAGGAGAATTATGGGGATTTACAAGAGAGTTGACTGTGTACCATTTTTTAAAATTGCCAAACATATTATCGCACATGCTGCTGAGGGTTTCTCCTGATGTGATAAAACACCATGACCAAGGCAACTTGAGGAGGAAATGACCTGTTTTGTCTCATAGCTCTCAAGTCACATTCCATCACTGAATGAAGTCAGGGCAGGAACTCACACAGGGCAGTGGCCTGGAGGCAGGAACTGAAGCAGAGGCCTTGGAAGGGTGTTACTTCAGGTTTGTGCTTCATGGCTTCCTGAGCCTGCTTTCTTATACATCCTAGGATCATCTGCTGTGGGGTAGCACCACCCACAATGAGATAGGTCCTCCCATATCAATCACTAACTTAAAAAATTTACCACAGGCTTGCCCACAGGCCAGTCTCAGGGGTACTCTCTCAATTGAGGTTCTGTCTTCACAAATGATTCTAACGTGTCAAGTTGGCATAAAAATAGCCAGCAAATAGTAGTAGTAATAATAATAATAATAATAACCAGCAAACCTGGTCCTTTTTTAACTTGACACAAAACTCCATCACTATTAAACCATAACCTTTCCTTTCTTCTTCATCCCCAGGATCTCATATTAACATTAAATTAAATTAATATTAACAATATAACATGTTCCAACTTTAAAAGTCCTGCACACAGCCTTTAAATTTTTGAACACTTTGAATTTCAGTCTCATTAAAGCATACAAAGTAGCTTTCAAAATTCAAACCCTCTCTAAAATATCCAAGGGCTCTCTAAAATTCCAACATTTCTCAACTGTGAGCTCCTATGAGACAAAAATCAAGTTCCGCACTTTTTTATTCCAGGAGGAAAGAATCTGGACACAGTTACATTCAAATCAAAGCAAAGTCTAACAGCTCAGTATCAGACTTCTGGGACTCTTGATCTAGTCTACATAGGGCTTGCACATAGCATACAGTACACATAATGTGTCTAGTAGTTCAGGCTGGCCTCATTCCACAGCTACTGCTGGCCTTGTGGGGTTGTCCCATTTTCAAAATGTTGGGAGTGTCTGTTGCAATTAGGCTACTCCTTCACCACTAGCCTCTCACTGGATTTCTTAAGGGACTCTGAACTTTCCACAGGGTTCTAAGCCTCAGCTCTCTCCATGACCATTCATGCCTTCAAAGCCAATTAACACGAATGACTCTTACACATGTTTGGCTGCTGGCATAAAATACAGCCTTAGCTCCCTCTGCATCACATTTTCTATGTGCTAACCCTGAGGAAATACTCTGTAGATGTAACCAACTGTCTTATTAAATAAGAAACACAGAACCAATGCAAAGAAGAAAGCCAAGAGGTCAGAGCTAAGAGCTAAAACCTTACCCTTCCTCCTGTGGTGGTCCTACCTCTCCGAAAGAGAGCTACTTCCTGTATTAAAGTCTTTATAAAGACTTTCGGTTCTGCCTTCTCATTGGTTGTAAACCCAACCACATGACCACCTCGTCACTGCCTGTCTGTACAGACCTCCAGGTCTTCTATGGTTGGTATTGAGATTAAAGGCATGTGTCTCCAATGCTGGCTGTATCCCTGAACACACAGAGATCTACCTAGCTCTGCCTACCAAGTGCTGGGATTAAAGGTGTGCGCCACCACCGCCCAGCTTTCCTATGGCTTGCTAATAGCTCTGACCCCCGGGCAACATTATTTATTAACATACAAATAACATTTTAGTACAAAATAAAATATCACCATAATACTCCCAGATTTATAATCCTCAATAATGCTAATCTCTTCTTAATCACTGCTAACTTCTAAGCTCCAACTAACTAGCACCAAT